ATATTTCTTAAACGAATGAATGATCCATAGCTTTTATTTTAACAAACAGCTTCCACGTCCTCCTTTCTCTACCTCTCCCACATTTTCTACTAAAGCTGCTGCAATTAATACAACTACCCTATTTGAATTTAATTTTTTCCTCCTCTCCTTGCCCAATTATAGATGTTGAGCTAATGAAGAGACAGATACCACGAGAGCCACCAACAAGAATTGAAGAGACGGAATAACCATCATTAACCAGCAGGGTTGATGTTAGAAGTCATTTAGATATAGACATATTCAGTGTGACGTCAAGGAGTCAGTTACTATTCTGAAAGAATGGCACTCTTAACAAAACTATTTTCTTCTGATCTGTTCATGTTTGTATCATTTGGTTCATTTCAGACCTCAAACCATCTGGAACAGTTTTTCCAAAGAGAATCTCAAGATTCCAATAGAAAAAATTTAGCCTCTTGCCCCAATTATGAGCTCAACATTTAGATTTGCTCATGCAAATCAAGTGATTGTGTACTTCCTAGAATTATAAACATAATGATGACTCTATTTACCTATACAGTTCAGATTTTGTGTTTTGCACGAGCATTTTTCATCTGCTTCAAAGGGACTTTTCCAAATGTTTCGTTTAGTCTGTTGAAAATCCTTCCACTTGGTACAGTTATTTCAATGTTCATGCCTTCCATTGGACTTCTTCAGTGTCTGTACATGTGAGATTATTGACAGAATTAGATATTATTTTACAGTAGAGTTACAGCTGTCCAAGTTCCAAATAACAGCTGTGAATAACCCCATGGGCGAAGATTCTTAATAATTTTCCAAGTTTTCTATGTTAGTGACAGTTTTCATGCATACACTTAGCTATTAAAGCATTAGAATTTCTTTGATTTCTTAATCATTAACAACTTTAGCTTTGATTGCCCATGGAGTTGCAAGCTGTTAAAATTATCATTTGCCTCCTACTAATTTTGAAACCAAGAGCTGTTTCTTCATTTGATGTAGTACAGGTCTTTCTCAGAGCTCACATAACTCAGAAGCACTAAAGAATCTACTATAAGAAAATAATCTGAAAATAATGAATTTATAAAATAAATGGAGTTAAAGGGAGAATACTCTAGTTTAAATACTAAAGAGTTCAGTTCTTTAAAGGATTCAACGTAGAATATTGTTTTTCAGTGGAAAGCATCTCTCTCTGGTTTTTGCAAATTATTATTTAAATGGTGATTATTTTATGAAGCAGGTAGAGAGGCAGGAAATCTGAAAGCTATGTTTCAATGCTAAAAGGTCAGTTGAAATTCAACCAGAGTTAAAATAATGTTGAATTATTGTGTAAGTCAATAGAACATAAAAAACAACCTAGAAAAATTCTGTTTATACACAGCCTTTTAAAAACCATGCTCTTACAGTGCTTTACTTATAGTAAATGCACAGTAAATACTTGTTAAACTAATTTGATATATGTTAAGATCAATTGATGGTATGATAAAATGAAATGTTACCTTGAGCATTCATTCATTCATTTAGCTATCATCCATTCAGAGATATTTATTTACATTCCAAATGTAGTTTACTGGAAAAAAATTGAAAATTGATGACTTATTTTATAAAAAATGACATGTCTCTATTATGGATGTCCTTCTACAACATTAGGCTGAAGGAATTTATATCAGGTCCAAAGGCTCCTACAGGCTAGTTCTGTGCAGGCTACTTAAGAAACATCTGAGAAGCTAGTTAAAATAATTAATTCCTAAGCCCTATTCTCAAAGATATTGTTGAGTAAATCTAGGGTGAGCCTAGCATTTGAATTTTTTGAAAAGCTACCCAGATACTGATATACAATTAGGTTTCAAAACCTATTATAATACCATCGGTATTAACCACAGATACTTGTTTAGCCTGTCTTTAATGTGGCTATTCTTGACTTCCTGTTAACCTCCCTCCTTCTCTGGGAAGACCCAGCCCTCTGACACGATGGTAGGGATAGCATGTTTTCCTTAGAGCATCAGGAAAATGAACATCTAACTTTCCTCAGGTCAATATTTCTGATTTCTCGGTATTCCTTCTAAGTACCAGTCCAATGCCAGGTAATACACTGTGGATATGCCACAACATGATTTATTACTTAAAACAGGAAAAGCAAAAGTCAGCACTCCCTGGAAGCTTCTCATACTTGCAGGCTCACATTAATACTCCTCTTGTACATGAGCAATATTCCTGCCCTTTCTGATGTCATTCATTATGGCACAAACCCCCCTCAAACTTGTCCCCACAGACACACATACAACATAAGGTTCTGGCGTATAGAGGTCCTATTGATAGTGCAACTGAGAATGGATACATTTAGTACATCTCTGCCCAATCCATTCAATCCACTATTCACCTTGCTACCCTTACTTTTATGGTTAGAATAAAACCACTCATTTCCCAGTTCTGACTAAACCACTCATTTCCCAGTTCTGACTATATTTTCTTAACCTCTTCTCTATAAGATTTGTTTTTAAGTACTGACCTGCACAATTTCTCCAGAATTTACCAACTTTTTTCCTTTTTACAAGCTAATCTCGATGTATTTTCCATCTCCTATAGTATAGTGGACCTCTAATCAGTGCCTCCCACTCAATATCATTATTATTAAGCATAATCATACATTAATTATAATGTATTGTGATTTTGAGTGCTTATTAAAAATATAATATCCCTTTCCCATAGGAACTTCCACTGTCTACATCTTTCTAAGGAAGCAGGTAATTTTCCTTGAAGGCTGTATACAGGCTTGCTAAGCACTGTATGCTAGTAGACTGTGACATAGCATCTTCCTCTGAAAACTTATAGTCCGAGAGGAATATATGTCATTCCCTTTTATGGTTAAATTCCACTTGTCCTTGATATTTGTGCCTATTTAACATCTGTAGTATACTAGATGCTATCCAGGACAAAGAAAACTTTATAAAGCATAGCTGAGCATAGTCTCATAATTACTCACTAATGCTATAATAAAATATAGTATAATTGAAGTCTATAGAAAATATTTCCATTTTCTCTTCTCTAGGGTAAATAAATTAAATCCCTTTAACCACTTTTGTTTATTAGTGCTATGAATCTCAAATCCATTAACTTAAATGAAGAAAGATGGTTAAACAATTTTAGCCTATTTTATTAGTGATGTGAAATTTCATAGCTGAAAAAGGGAAGCTAAAGTCAAATGAAACCTGGAATGGCTGGATAAGGACAAGCAACTTCCATAAATATATTCCCTAAGGATAAAATCATTCACGTCTTCTAGAACAGAATGGTTAGCAACTGCTCCCCGACACGAGGGCTCAATACTTGCCTCACAAAGTTTTTTTGCCTCTCTAAGATGATTCTTTAAGGAGGAAAAAAATCAGAAAAACATTCAGTTTTTCATAAATGGTACTTCTAGCACATCACAGTACTAACCCTTCTGTCATCTCTTGGTATGGCCCCAGTTGAAAAGTACCCTCAGTTGTGTTTTTCCATTAATTAAAGAATAGGTTTGAGTCCTTTATATTAGAAAATAGCAACCAACACTTGGTGGTGCAGGGTCATCACTAGAACAGTAACAAGAATGAAGTGTGTTGTGCCCTTTTTTCACCCTCTTCATCTTCTGACTTTATTTTTGCTTTTCACAGTTCTTTGTGAGATACTGTCACTTAAGAAATAACTATAAATGTCAGTATGAGTGACTTTACAATTTTTCTTGGAAGTTTCATTTATCTAAGTTATAATTAATAACATTCAAGAGTGAGTCATTTACTAAGGCAACCTGAGCATTAGTTGGTATGTTTCACCCGGTCAGTTCATTTCATATCTGTTGTCAGAGTGCAGGCATCTTTGAGTGTATCCTGTTCATGTATTGGGACATTTTATTCACAACAATTTCATATTCGTGATGCGGTTGACTTAACGGTATTAACATAAGAGTCAAGTGTCTGGATGGCGAGAATATTAGGTGGTTTTGTTTATAAATATTAGAAATGGGGGAAAAAAATGAAAGGACAAACGTTATAAAGTAAATGATGATATCTCTAGGTAATAAGCTTATTGTAGACTTTAATTTTTTCTTAAATTTATCTGTTTTTCTAAATTTCTAAAATAAAGAAAAATAAATGAAATCTTAGAAAAAGAAGAAATTAGAGTTGCTGCTTATTTCTTATTTCTTATTGTGCTTATTCTAGGAGACCTGCCTGGCTTTGTTTTTATGTGGTGTTCCTCTCCCAAGCAGTCTTTCCTCTTAGCCCATGCTGCTGAAGCATGTTTTCTCTGTCTTAGCACTGTGGAGAGTTCATGAGTGTGTATGAGGAGGACCTAAAGATAAATACATAGCTGTAGCAGACTTCGATGTTTTTTTTTTTAACTTGGTAAACTAGGTTTATGGATGGATTCTTGCATGTATTTTGCTGAGAGCTGATGCTTATGGTCTTTGTATTTGCAGATTTGGATAGGAGTCCAGGGAGATGAATGTGTTGAGATGCATGGGAGGTTTTAGGAGATATAAAAAACAGTACGATAGAGTTTGTAGGCTGAATCATATTTTGGAGACATTAATTAATTGAAAGCCATTCATCAACATTTCTCAGGCCCTAGCTCCTAGATCTTAGTTCAGATTAAAATCTCAATGCATTTAAAATGTTTCTCCCTCAATCCATTGGCCATTAAAAGTTATGTTCAAACTGAGTATGAAAACTATAATCATGGACATCTTTGCCGCTGCTGTCCAAAGAAATACCTCAGAACTCTTTCATTCTTATGTAAATTTCTGAATTTTCAAAAATGGGTCCCCTTCCTAAGCTCCTGCCCCGTTTCTTCTTTTCATAAGTGAAAAAATTTCTTCATCCTAACTTTATGAGACTGTCAAGGGAAAAAGTCCTACAACTATCGTGAGATATTAAAGATAGAATAAAGTTGAATGCCTTGGGAGTTTTGTGTAGTGCAAAAAAGCAAGGAATAATTTGGTTTATTTGTTTTTTCCCATCTAATATTTTTAGGTACAAGCCTATGCAGAAAGTGGATGGGGTTGCAGATGGTTTCACAGCAAGTGGTCAACAGACAGGCACATCTGTTGAGCAAACTGTAATTGCCCAAAGTCAACATCATCAACAGTTTTTAGGTATGTTAAGGTGGAATGCATATTAGTTGCTATTAGGATTCTGAAAACAAGAGAACTATAGTGGTGTTTTCTCAAAGTGCGATGTCTATTACAGATGTTAATTACATAGAAAACTTTTTTTGTGCTGGAACTATGCACATGATATGGTAGTTCCGGTTTATTTCTACTTTCTCATGTTCACTAAAGATTATTTTCAAAAAATCTCAAGCTATAGGACTTTTAAATGTATATAAATTAAAGGCTCATTGCTGTGAAATTGTTTTCCAGAATTTGTGTTAATTGGGCTTTTGTGATCAAAATTGTGTTGTGTTTACTTTCAGTAGTAACTTCAAGTGCCAAAAAGAATTCTCATTTCCTATGTCTAAAGTTGCATATGCATTTAGTGTCAGATTAGAAAAATATTATAAACTTTTAAAAAGTAATTTGTTCAAGTCGATCACAGTACTTTCTATTTTTTTGTAATTTTGTAGATGGTATACGTGTTTCTTTTTCTTTAAAGAGTTAGGAAATGGAACTTGAACATTTTGCATATTCCTGTCATAGCCAAAGGTGCAAAAATGGCACTTTTGACAACTCTTCTAGAGATGAACATGCATAATTTCCGTACAACAGATCAAGATAAGTAGAAGCTATCAGAGAGTGTGTGTGTGTATGTGTCTGTGTGTGTGTATATGTGTTTATGTGCACTTTCTGACAAAGATAACTAAAATGGACTCTCAGGTCAGAATAGCTACTGAAGTTGAAAATATTATGGCAGCATTTCCCAAACTAAAGTCCTCAAGTGTATTCTTGTGGACGCTTGAGCTCTCGGCATGAAGTTTTATTTTTTTATTTTGTGTATTTTATTTCAATTATAATCTTAAAAAAAAAAGCATATTCTCGATTACCTAGAAGACTAGAATGAATGTTGTTCTGCAAGTTTAGTTTCCACATTTGTATTTGAATTTATGATAAAGCAGGCACCAAAGTGTGTTGCATTAATTGTCCAGAGCTAATGAGAAAAGAACAGAGAGAGACTTACTATGTAAATTACGCCTTCATCCCAAGGGAAGGCTAAATGATGTCCCAGTGCTCTGTGTGGAGGAAAGTTTCACAGCTCAATTGAATATAGAAGAGTAATGGGAGAACCAGCCACCAAGAAGTGCGTGTTGGTATAGGCCTGTGGAACTCAAAAGATCCTGTGCCACAACAGTCAATCCTGTATTCATGTTGCGAGAGGTAATTTAGTTAGAGGACAACAGCACCATCCATCATATCAAATTAATGTTGTTAAGTTGAATGTTATTTTTGTAGTTTTCTTTGTATTTATTTTGTAGCTCTTTTGGTTTATGATTATATAAGAGACATGAGCATAATGAGTTTAAAGCTAGATTTATTTTTTATATACTTAAGTAACATAATAAAAGTAACTAAAATTGATACTGGCCAGCTCGAGATATTTTTCTTTTAATAAGGGCCCTACCTTAAGAGACACTGTGATGTGTTATTACCAGTATAATCGTAATGAGAATTTAGTTTCTCCAAAGTTTTTAAGAGTATTCCTTCTATTCTTTTGTGCTGATGATGTTGCTAAGTTTTGTTTGCAAAATACTATTGAAAAGTCCTTGCTCTTTGGACCTCTGACCTTTATAATTTTTTCCTTTTTACTCTTCTTAAATTTTCCCTCATTAACCTGTAATTGGCACCATCCACAATAGCTTTTTTCTGTTGTGTTGTCATGGTAACAGATGCATCTCGAGCACTTCCAGAGTTTGGAGAAGTTGAAATCTCTTCTCTGCCAGATGGTACTACCTTTGAGGATATCAAGTCACTGCAGAGTCTTTATCGAGAGCACTGTGAGGTAAGTCTTTTCAAACATAGTATGAACACTTGCTAAGTTTTGCCAGACAACTTGCTAAAACAAAAATAATCAAACTTATTCCTAGAGGACAAAGTTAGTTCATATTTCTTTGAGCACAAATAAGTTAATTTTTCTTCTTGTCTCAGACTGGAGAAATGAAGACTGCAGGAAAGAGAGAATAAATTTTACTCTCTGTCTTCTTAGCCTATCTTAATATGAATCATGTAGTAATTCCACTTCTAGGTATTTATCCTAGGAAAAATGCTTACATATGGGTGAAGAGATAAGTGTACAAGGGAACTTATTGCATTATGGTTTATAATGCAAAAGATTAGTTTTAACTTCAATATCTAATAGGGAACTGAATAAATAAAATATGGTACAATCTGTAGAGTGGAATACTATGCAGCCATTAAAAAGAACGGCCAACTCTAAATGTACTAATATCACAAGCTCCAGGATTTATTTTTGAGAAAAGAAGCAAGATGTAAAACAGTATATACAGCATACTATTATTTGAATGAAAAGGAACTTGTATATGTATCTTTTCAGAGGAAAGAACAAAATATTAATGGTGGTTGCCTTTGTGAAGGTGACTGGGAGTTAAGGAAAGAGACTTAATTTTTCAACATCCACTTTTTACCCTTTGAATTTTACACCATAATTGTGTATTTCTATCAAAAATATTTTCTAGAAATGTTTAATAAAGCACTTTAGGTGTTCCTTCCAGGGATCATTGAGGTTCTGGTTTTGTTTGTTTTGTTGTTAATGAAGGTTTCTCTTGGTGTTTTCCATCCCTGCTCCTACCCCTTTTCTGAGTATCCCACATCAGAATTGGCTACATTGTCTCCAGGAGGTGAACTCTCAAGCCAGCAAGTTAATGTACCTGCCGTTCACCTGGCACAAAGGGCATAATGGATTGCAATAAAAGTTTCCTTAAGTGCCTCTCCTTTTGAAAGAGGAGTCTATTTAGAATTTAAGTAGCTTTATTCCAGGGCTATTTGTGATCTGTTTAGGAGTAAAAGGTAATCCTTTGGGATGTCATGGGCAGTCCTCCTGCCTGCTGACAATGCACTATGCAGTGCGAAGTCTCAGCTCATAGCATTCACAGATTTTTTTCCCACTCTAGAAATAAGAACTGCTTAAGTGAATCTGAGTGCTTGTCAAGGGTGCTAGATTATTAACAACCAAGAGCAAGTTCTCGCTGTATTACCAAACCGTGTGCCAGAAGTGTTTTTCAATGTGTCCTGCCAGTTCCCAATATTTCTTGGCATGATGAAAGATACTTAATATTAATTTCTCTTTGACTACTATGCTTTTCCCAATGTTAGAGAATTTCTGGATGATCCTTACATATCTAGAAGAATTCTTTCCTTCTACATGAATATCATGTTTATTTAATAAAGATTTATATAAAGATTCTCTAAGCAATTTCTCATTTCTCTGTGTTCAGGTGAGCCTGCTTTAAGCAAACCAGCCTATATAGATATAATTTGGATTTTTTTTTTGTTTCTCATATTTATTCAAAATATAAGTTGGAGCATGATTATTTACATTACTAAGAATGTATAGTAAGCTTATTCTAGTTGAAACACTCCCCCAATGAGATGAGAATATTCTTTGGATTACAACATTTTCATTAACATACCAATTTCCAGGAATATTATATATGAAGAGAAATGGACATGTATGATAATCAGTCTGTGTGGGAAGTGGCAGTCCATAGAATGATCCCCATTTATTTCAGAGTTACCAACATTCATGCCATCTCTCATGAGGCATAGTGGCATATATGAAAAAGAAGAATTCTCCTTATTTTTTCCTGTCAAACTTCCAAACTTTTGAAGTACAGGTTCCGAAGTCTCATATCCAGTCCTGTAAATAGTCATTTGCCCTAAGCCATTAGAATATGGATTTTTTAAAATATATTTGCCTATATATTTTGTTGTGAACATATTTGAAAGTAGGAGGACAAATGATAAAATGTTTTATTCATTTGTAAAACTGCCTCAAATGAGGCTGATGTGAATGTCCTTTTCAAAAGAATTATTTGAGATTGTTTAAAGAGAGAATTATTTGAGATTATTTAATTTGAAGAGATACTGAATTTAAGCTGCACTGAATTCTTGCTGTATTTTATTTTACATTTCCTACAGTTTATGTTTCTAAGAAAGATTAATATACCTATTTTGCCTGTTATTTGGAATTCTCACAATTGGTTTATCAAAGATATTTTGTATCTCTCTGATATTTTTATATCATAGTTTTGTTACGTAAGGAGCAAGTATAATTTTCCACACGTTGCTACAACAGTAATTTTTTCTTTTAGCACATGCATAGTGTTCTTAGAGAAGTTTCATAGGTAGAGGTATGTAAAGTATGATATAAGATATTAATGGTTGCCTCATTAACAGATGTCTCTTGGAATGTGCCTAAGCTATAGTTGAGAAAGCAGCTATAATAATTTGCCTGTTGAGAAGGTTTTGGTTTTGCCTGGGAGGAGGGACATCTCTATGCCCCGTACTTTCCTGGCTTGCACTTGGGTTTCTGTTGTTGCTGATATTAAAGAGTGAGGAGCGTGTTAATTCATTTGTCCCCTTCCCTCCATTTTCATTGTCTGACTACTTGGAACATTTCCTACTAGTTCCCAGAACGTGCCCGCAAACAGATTTGTTTAATGTTTGAGTTGGTCTCAGAGTGTTTTTGTATAGAACATCGCTTATTCTTTGTATGTGTCATGCATAGGGCCAGATCTACTCAGGTAGCACAGACTCTAGAATTATGAAGTTACAGTTTCTTCTTTTTGCCTAAAATACTCGGATTGTCTCTCTTGATTCCTCTCCATTGTCTCTTAGCTTCTATGAATTTTGTGGATCTGGACAGGGCTGTTTTACCTGTCCTTGTTCTCGATGCTGATGACATCACACACGTTATACTGATGACTTCCGTCTTTTATGCTCAAAATAATCACTGAATCATGTGTTCTTTGTACAAACAAGTTATTCATTGGTTTTATGACTGCTTTTATCTGAAGGCAAATTTACAAACTAATTGCCATGGCAGGGTGAAATTAAATATGATCATCAAGAGTTAATGAAAGTGGCAAATTTTAGCATCAAAAAAAAATTGTCCTTGATGCAGGTAGAGAATGGTTCTAGGAGATACAATTAAGGAGGAGGAGGAGTGAGGCTCCTGCCCCCCAGGTTAGAAAAGGGGATGGTCTTAAAGCTGCTCTCTAAAGGGATGTGCAGAGATAGGGTTGAATGGAAGGCGCTGAGTGACCAGGGAGATGGCCACTGTGCTCTTTTTCTGCTTAGACAGATGCTACCCTCTGAAGGCCAGCCTGACTCTGGAGTTTTTGCCCCAGCCTCTCCTTGCCTGGGAACACTCTGGAACCCATGGTCAGCAGCCTTAGACAGAGCTAATTTAGCCCTAACTCCATCTGCCACATACAAGCACCTCACACCCTTCACTTCTGCCCTCTTTGATAGCCAGTGGACACACCGAGCCCAGTGAGGGCAAAATTGAATTGAATCTGTTGTGCGCCCTTCCGGGTCTGAGAGTAGGAAAAGAGGCGGCAACTAGGGAGGCAGAAGGAAACAGTGGGTAAAGGAATGGAAGACAAGTAAGAGGAGAAAATGGAGAGGAGGAAGGGAAGCAAGCATGAAAATGGAGGAAAAAGAGAGGTAAAAGAGGGGGGGATATGAGCCCTTTACGAGAGGAGTACAAGTTATCCTGCTCACTCTTGCAAGAGTGTTTTTCTTTTTTTTTTCTAGCTAATCTCTTTTGTTTACCTACTTCCATTAGCAAAATTTAGTCCAGTTTCACCGGGTTAACTTACGAGCCCAAAGGTATCTTTACCATTTAAGTCCCGTTACGTCAGGCACTCCTCACACAGCCCCATAAGAAGTATTGTAAGGTAATACTGACAACCATTTTGTTTTTTAGGCAATATTGGATGTTGTTGTGAATCTTCAGTTTAGCCTGATAGAAAAATTGTGGCAAACATTCTGGCGCTATTCTCCCTCTACTCCAAATGATGGCACTACCATTACTGAATCAAGGTCAGAATCACTATGCTTTTCCAATTCACGTTCATGGCTGAGTAGATGTCACAGCTAATGAATTAGAGATATGTATACCAGTTGTGAACCTTACCTGATAACATTAAATGAGTAGATTAAAATAAACCACAAACTGCTCTCTTGAGGTTTCAGCGTGTATATTAGCGCCCATTTTTATTGATTTGGGGGACTGCGGTAGAGCTATTTCATCCTCACGGAATTAGTATCATATCTGCCTTTCATGCCGTCAGAAAGTATTAACCTGCACAGGCAGCTCTGGGGGAGTGTTATATATATCCAGCCGTATGGCACCAGTGCAATGGTGGTATAGTTCTAACCTCAGTGATATTTGATAAACTAAAACTATTTTTAAAGTCCATTTTCTTTTTTATCCTCATTTGCCATCTATTCATTTGCTACATTTATTCACACCAGCAATCTGAGTGAAATAGAAAGTCGACTTCCGAAAGCAAAGCTGATAACTCTGTGCAAACATGAGTCTATCCTGAAATGGATGTGTAACTGTGACCATGGGATGTACCAGGCTTTGGTGGAGATTCTCATCCCCGACGTCCTTAGACCTATTCCTAGTAAGTTAAATGCAGACAAGTACGGATGCTTTTGTTCTCATACGTTCCACCCAGGAAGTTTTGGGAAGTGACGCTGCAATCTAGAGTGATTCTCATCTCATTTAGATTTGCCGAAGAAAAAACATGCAACACAGACTATTTCATGAAAGCAGCCTAGAGCAAAACTGTAGTCAAAAGGGGAAAAATTATCTGTTTCCAATCTTTTGTTTTCTTTTTGATAGAAAAGACAGCCTGTAAATGTGACAGCCCCAATGACTGATTGCAAGAACACTCCCAGGCCAGTCAACCATGTAAAAATTATTCTACCCAAGGACACAGTTTCCTTCGTAAAGCCAAAAGTTTTTGAAATCTGTAATTACTAGGCCAACCCCTTTCGTGGTTGCTTTTGATTTGAAATGAATTTATCTTGGTTTCCACTGAAGTTGAATTCCTTTATAAAAGCATTTACTTTGTCATTTACAGCATGGTAAGAACTACAAGTGCAGTTTCCATTAACAGTAATGGTTAACTGGCATTTTGAGAGAAAAATCTATGTAACTACACAAGCATTGTATTCCCACCGTGAAGCGCATAGGAATTATATAGATAAGTTGGATTACTTTTTTAAGTGATGGTGCTTTTTAAACTACCTTGTAGCAAATAAAGCTATTTTCTGCTTGTGTCAATATAAACGCTACTAAGGATAGTTGTGTTAGAGGCAGTTGAAACGATTTTATGCCTACATCTTTATAAGCACATCCTAGTGACCTTAACTTTTAAAGAAATGGGGCAGAATTTCCACTCTACAGTGACAGTACTAAGGTAAAAGCAGTCTTTTAGCTTGTGAATTGGCAACCATGTACTTCAAGTACACTGTTCACAGTGGATTTGTGTTAAATTATTCCAGAAAATATTTAAATGAGAATTTAGTAGAAGAAAAGGTGAAGATATTAGCATTTGTATGTTTATACTTTATTTTTTCTAAATATGATAGACAACAGTGGAAGATATTACTTTCCTATGTTCCCCCACCTTAAAATATATGCTTAGACACTTATTTATGTATAATATTCAGTGAACACACACATAAATTTGTATAGAAATAAGTAAAAAAAAAAAATCCAGCTGTCGTTGTCTCACATTTTTATAAATTGCTAATGTTTTCCACTCTATCCGCACCAATTTTCCTGACTAAAGATTGATTAAAAGTGATGTTGTCATGGAAAATTTCAGTGTGTAAATTCGCTACTGATTTATGTTCCAGAATCTGATTTTCCTTGTTTTTGTCTTGCTCCCTGTGCTCTGAGCGATAATCTCTAGAGACGTTTAAGAGAAGTTGCATAGGATAGCTCATTAGCCTATGACATCTTGCCACCAACGTACAGCTTCTCTCATGAGATACAAGAAGAAATGTCAGGGAGCTCTTTCTTTTTTGAGGCAAATCAACAACATCAGTATTCATTAAACAAGTCTAAAACCTTTTGCTTCTATGTTAGCATCACAAGATTCGTGAACTTCACAGTTCCCTAGCTTAAATCATGTATCGATTTTAGTTGACTTTAAGCTCCATAATTTTAAGTAGACAATACACTTGACCTTTGCTTTTTGCAAATTTTGATTTAAAAACCAATTCTGTCAAGTAGTTTGTCTCTGCATTCAATAGACAACTCAACTTCAGGAATTTTCACACAAGTATAGTTTTATAGCTTCTCTGAAATTACAAGATACATTCATGTGCTCCCCTACGAAGTACATTTGGAAATTTAATTCCCATTCTATAATAAGACTTAACAAAATAAAGCTTAAAATACAGTTTAGGTATCTATCTTATGATTGTATGCATTTTAATATTAATCATGAGCAGGTTGGGACAAGTTAGCTTTGGAATAGTTTTACATTTCAAACCATCCATTCATGAGAAAAAGTTGTCAGAGTCAGTCTGCACAATTTGATCTGACATGAATCCCTATAGAGAGAGCAAACTTAATTTTATTTTTAAAAATTGTATTTTCCTGGCTACTAGTACTTCACTCTACCATTTACTGTCCAGATGGGATTCCTTTTTTTAGCCAAAAAAAAAGTCTGCATATCACACTAATTTAAAGTCAGCTTGAAGCTACTATATTCTAAAATACATTTATCTGAAAATGAAAAAAAGTTAAGTGTAAAGAATTGTATAAGAACTGAACTGGTAACACTTAAATGTACAATTATGAGTATACTTAAATGTGGCCCCAAATGTCATTTCATACAAAAAAAGCAAAAACTTAAATCACTTGATATACAAAGCATATCTTTTCATTTTATAATCTCACTAACATAAAATTTGTCTAGATAAAACAAGACCCATATAAAACATTTTTTAAAAGTAACTTTTCCTGCTTCTTGGTTTTTGTTTTTCAGATTAAATAATTATTAGATATTAATTGTAAAAAAAAATGCAAAATACAGATATCCAGATTGATTCTTGAAAACAATTTTGCCAACTTTCAAAAAGGGTTGTTAGGTATTTTTTCACTCCTTTTCATTTTCATTCATGCCTGCCCTCCATGATTCTAGTACATAATACAGCAGAAAAATATTTTTCTTTCTTTTTTCTTTTTTGGCTGAAGTGGGAAGCTTTGGAAATTTCAAAAGATCAATTCTCAGGAAATTTCCAACTCAATGTTTCCAGTAGATGATTCTCATGATTAAGAGTCTGCACTTCTTGACTGTTTTTCCTAATCAAAATTTAGCCATTTCAATCTCTCTTCTGTTATTTGACCAGTTAAATAACTCATAAAAAAAATAGTTGTTTATATTATTTGTTTAGTAAAATTTATATCTTTTGCAGGTAACTTGAGTAAGCTAAATTATTTCTAACCCTACTTTAACAAAAGTAATGGAGAAGCATGTCAGACTCATTTGAGCACAGAAAGAAAAATCAAGGAATTTAATCCCATCATTAACATTAATATTCTTGGGAGCCTTGGACAAAAATGTAACTTCTCTGTTTCTTTTAGTAGACTACAAATTATCATACCTACCCACATTATAGGAAACCCATGGAGATTAATTTTATGTGTGGGTGCTTCAAACATTTATTAAATGTCTAAAACTGCTCCCTACACTGTGGAGCCTTGGGCACAGATGATGTAAAATACTATTGACTGAATTACTTGTTGAACAAGAGAGGAATTTAGTCTTCTATTATACAGCAATCTCAGTAAGCAGATTCCTTCTTGTAAAATAGTTGTGGTCATACCTGCTGATGATGCTTCTAATCGTTTTATGACCACCATAAAAGCTACTCTCATGAGACCTCTCCCTATGTCAGATTTTGTCAGATATGTGAAGAATATGGAATGGACAATTTTAGGACTATCTTAAGAATATTGGTCTCTGTGACAGCACTTTTATCACACTGATCTTTTATCTCTACTGCCAAGTGAAATGAAGAATAGTTATCAAAAATTTTCAAGTCAGGCAATTTTAATTTTTACCTTACTTTTCAACAAGAGCAAGAGACAACTCCTCTAATTGATAGGTTCTAGTGTAAATAGATACATAGAGAAAGAGAGAAAGCTTTGCATTATTTTCTTTCTAATTAAGAAGAGAAAATAGATTAAGAGCTTAAAAATCAAAAGAAGAATTTGTAAAGAAAATACATAGCCTTTGAGCACAAAACTATTAATGAAAAATGTTTTGTCTAAGATAGACAATTCATAAGTATATTCACAACTGGTATATGTTGCCATAAGCAAAGATATTTGAACTTTTGCATTTCCCAACAAAGTGTCATAAGTATCTGGGAACAAAGAAGCTTTAAAAGAAAAAAGAAAGCCCAAAATATAATTCTTGGATGCTTTCAAAGTTAGGAATAACGTTCAAGTCTCGTAATGAGGACAATATAAGTTGTGTGCTATTTCAGATGTCATGTACGCCTGTTTTCCCTGATTCTAGCATGAAGGTTAATGTTCCTTTGTATCTTTTTCGTTCTGCTTTTATTCTTTAACATTTAGGTGCCTTGACCCAAGCCATTCGAAATTTTGCAAAAAGCCTTGAAGGTTGGCTTTCCAATGCCATGAACAATATTCCACAGAGAATGATACAAACCAAGGTACACTTTCATGTTTTTACTTTTTCTTTTATGTTTAGGAAATTGTTCTGAACTGTGCATTTTATATCTGTCCTATCAAATTATATTATGTAAAATGTTGATATTATATAGAACTTTTAAAACTGACTTTTATATTTGTATTTTATAACCATATAATAAAGAACTTGCACAAGAGATGTTTGATAATGCTCCTCTCAAAGAAACTTGAGAAGCATTGTTAAGTGTGGTGTATTTACAAGCCCTTTTCTAAGGCATATATTTCAGATTACTTAATTTCAAATATTAAAAAGAATAGCCTAGAATATTCAAATAGTTCTCATTTGAAGAAGTTTTAGACTTTTTATGTCCCCGGCTATACTTATTATATTGTGAAAAGTTCATGTAAATTAATATTCTTTTGCTTTTCAAGATGTTTTGTTTTTTTAACACTGGAGAATGCTTTTGTGAATCAAGTAATCATTTCTTAAAGTGAACAGTTGTCTCATTATTGATCAGTATATATCAAGAATGTGGATTATTTAGCTACAGATATAAATTCTAGTCTCCACTTCATCCCCTATTAGCCATATTACTTTAGGTTAATCTGTGAACATACCCCATGGCAAGATTGGACTGATTCTCTCTAAACTTTGGTACCATAAATTACAGTTGTGGCATGTTTTTTTGTCAATGACTGTATCTACTATCAGACTCCAACAATAAACCTTTTCTTTCAGTTTGGGGGCATAGTAATAGACTAAGGCTCTTGAAGCTGACAAGTCTCTTTGGGAACACAAGTAGTTCCCAGTTCTTTCTGCTTTGACTTAAGGTTTTCAATAACACTTTCTCTCAAAAACATACAGAAGAAAACATTTCATTGATATGCCCACCTTAGACTGTTACTCTAGAACTATGCTGTCAATACAGTAGGGGTAGCAACATGTGGCTATTTCAATTTGAATTTAAAATTTAAATTAAAATTTCGGGTCCTCAGTCGTACTAGCTACATTGCAGTTGCACAATAGCCTCATATGGCTAGTGGCTACCACATTTAGCAGCACGTAGGTAGAGCATTTCCATCATTGCAGAAAGTTCTCCGTGGCAGGCTATTCTAGAGTGCCATATTGAGGTGGGCAAAAAAAGGAGGTGCTGTTTGATTATGTTGGTCAGAGGAATGCTTTCCAACTTGCAGAGTCAGCCATATTTATAACAATAGTTCAGACAGCTGAAAGCACCTCCCTCAGAGTGTCATCAAAGTGGATGTGGTAGCCATCCAGCTGCTGTCCTGGCCATCTCCTTGATCTCCAGAGTTGATTTGGATGATTTACTTTGGTGGAGGGTGCCTTCTGCTATTCCTCTCTCACTGATGTGCAGCCTTTTTTCAGCTGAGCGCTCCATCAATGAAGACAGTGTAACCTGACAGAGGAAACAGCATATGGGTTATGACCGGCTGTTGTTATCAAAATGCCTGAGTTCATATCCCACCAACATAACATAGTTTCTGCATAACCTTGAGCAAGCTACTTAACCTCTTTTAAGTCATAATATGTGTCTAATAGGATTGCTGTGAGAATTGAGCAAGGTAATATATGTGAGGTGCTTAACACAGTGCCTGGCACATACTTGGTTAATATAAACCTCAGCATGGAAAAAAGAGTAAGACTGTTTTTTGAGGGTATGTGAACTTCCTCGAAGTTCCACATAGTCCTAAAACATCTCACTGGCAAGATAGAGCATACTTTGACCTGTGACCACCCTCTACCACTCAGCCAACTGACTGTTCAATCAGTTGCTTCTCATTTACCCATAGTGATTTAATACCATACCATACATTCCTGTAAGTATGTTAAAATGCTCATTAGGTGTACTGTGCATGTAACAAATTTCCATGAGATCATAAAATTTAAATATTTACCTAGACCTTTTTTTTTTTTTTTTGCATTATCTTTGATATCTTTCAGTGTAACCTGGTTCATTCAGGGTCTCAGCAGGAAACAAATGGTATATCCAAAAGGGGGAATAATTGAAGAGAGTTTAAGAAGGGTCCATTTCCAAAAGCGTGAACAGAGTTAAGAAAACCAAGGAGGTTTGGTAAAGCGCCCCAGGACTAGCAATAGTGGGAAGTCCTGACCATTCCTAGGCCTGAAAGGGGAAGAGGTGAAAGCTATGGTATTAGGAGATCCTCTCCTTCCCCCAGGACTGTGGCCTTAGAAAAGGAAGGCAGGCTCGGCCAAAACAGGAGAGAGCAGAGGTTGTGGGGGAATGAATACTTTGACCACTCTTTCTTGCCATCCTTCAGTCTCCTACAGTGCCTGTCATTGGCCAAACCCAGCTGGAAGCCAGAGTGTAATGGAGGCAGTTAATGTAGTTCATTCAGGTCAGTTTTCCTTGGCACAGAGCAGAATGGAGAAGGACGGAAAGTAGATTTTGAAGGGCAAATGGAGATTTCTTGGATAGCCCTTTTGCAGAAAATCAAATTCTGAAAAAGAGTTCTTCTTGTTGCTTGTGTTAGATAAGTTTATTAGGTATATGTTTGCTAATAAAGGCTATAAACACTAATCTTTCACCTCAAAATTACCGAGGTTGCTATAAAATAAAGGTAATAAGAGTGAATGTGAATGACAGCACAGTGAAAAGTATATTTTTTTAAATCTATTTAAAAAAGTGGGACTGTATAGTTTGGTTTTCCAAGTAAAAAGAAAAAAATTTTATTTGCCTAGTTTGTAGTTGACTGTCCTACAGAGAGTAAAAAACAAATGAAAGTCAACATTTTTCCTGCTTCCCTAGACAAAGTCATTTCTTGCTGTGGGTGAGTAGTTACTTGCGAGATTGGTTTAATTAATGCTGCGCTCAGATGTCGAGGAATGTGGGAGTTTGTTTTAGTCTTGACCTCAACCTACTCAAAAGGAAAATAATACTTGGTTTAGAGATTTAAATGCTATAATTTACAAGTAAGCTCTTTCACCAAATGAATTTGAAATAAGTATCAGAGGGAAGCATTTAAAATTTGGCAAGGGAATAAAGATTTGAAGATTGCAGTGGTTTCTTTTACTGGAGGGAAAAAAAAAATCCCGATTTAGTTGGCTTTCTTTCCAGGTTGCCGCTGTAAGTGCCTTTGCCCAGACTCTGCGAAGATACACGTCGCTCAATCACCTGGCCCAGGCGGCTCGTGCAGTGCTTCAGAACACCTCTCAGATCAACCAGATGCTCAATGACCTCAACCGTGTCGACTTTGCCAACGTCCAGGTACTCTGTTCTCTTTCAAAGTGTGTCTTAAGGAAGGACACTCAATTTTTTCTGCTTAATTAGAATCATCAAATTTCTTTTTAAAGTTTCATCAGTACACAGGCAGCATCTATATTCACAACGCCCTGAAAGAGGAGTTTTCCTCAGCTGTGGCTTTAATAAGCTCCTCGGTTTTGTGGTTAATGTCTGCTAAGATTTATAGTACGAGATGGCAACATATGTTACCGGAGTTTCCTGAATAGTTTATGGAGTAAGGACGATCACAGTCACTGAAGTTAGATAGGCAAGAGATTCAACTTTTCCATCTACTAGCTGTGAGATCTTGGGCAAGTTACTTAACTGCTCTGGGCTTTACTGTCCACACCTTGTAACACCTGTCTTAGATTATTGTTTACATATTTAGTAATACATAAAGCCCTTCGCACTGTTAAAACACAAGAGATATTTGTTTTTAATAATGCCCCATCTTGCAAGAACTAAGAGCAACTCTATTTCAGACTTTATTATAGGCACCTGGTAAATATTTGTTCATTTGAAAAGAATTAGATGCAGTGTGTTTGGCTATTTTGATCATCCAAATGAAAAAAATATATTTTAATCTTGTGATCAAGCTACTTGTACTATAAAGTACAGTTTAAAAAAATAGTTAATTTAGGATTATTATTATTATGGAATCCCAACAAATATTTTATTTCGGATACTAAAGTAATGAAGTTAATTGTTACCATATAAAAACAGTACCATTGCTCACTTGAGGTACAAGTAGCAAAAGAAAAAATACATAAACTGAACATAATCAAAATTAAAAACTTTTGTGCCTCAAAAGAGACCATCAAAAAAGTGAAATGGCAACTCATAGAATTGAAAAGCTTTTTGCACATCATATATCTGATAAAAAATTTGTATCTAGAAGGGCCAGCCCCATGGCCTAGTGGTTAAGTTTGGCACACTTCACTTCAGTGGCCTGGGTTCGGTTCCCAGGCGCAGACCTACGCCACTCGTCAGTGGCCATGTTGTGGCGGCAACCCACATACAAAATAGAGGAAAATTGGCACAGGTGTTAGCTCAGGGTGAATCTTCCTCAGCAAAAAAAAAAAAAAAAAATTGTATTTAGAGTATATAAAGAACTATTACAACCCAATAATAAAAAGACAGCCCATTTAAAAAATAGGAAAAGATCTGAATAGACATTTCTCAAAGAAGATATACAAATGGCCACTAAGCACCCAAAAACATGTTCAGCATCATTAGACACCAGGGAAATACTAATCAAAATCACAGTGAGATACCACTTCACCTGCACTAAAATGGGTATAATAAAAAAAGACAGATAATAACAAGTGTTGGTGAGGATGTGGAGAAATTGGAACCGTTATACACTGGTGATTGGCATGTAAAATCCTGCAGCCGCTTTGGAAAACAGTCTGGCAGTTCCTCACAAAGTTAAACATAGAGTTACTGTATGACTCAGCAGTTTCATTTGTAGATATATACCAAGAGAAATGAACACATGCCCACCTAAAAACTTGTACATGGATGTTCTTAGCCACATCATATTAGCCACATAAAAGTGGAAACCATTGAAATGACCATTAACTGATGAATACATAAACAAATAGTGGTCTGTCCATACAATGGAGTATTATTGGGCAGTAAAAAGAGATGAAGTTCTGATACATGCTACAGCATGGATGAACATCATGCTAAGTGAAACATTATGCTAAGTGCAAGAAGCCAGATACAAAGGACCACATATTGCATGATTCCATTCATATGAAAGGTGCAGAATAAGTAAATCTTATAGAGACAAGAAGTAGATAGTGGTTGCGCAGGTCCTGTAGACTGGGGGATTGGGAGGTGAGAGGTAAGGAGTGTAGGGTTTCTTTTTAGGGAAATGAAAACATTGTAAAATTGATTGTGGTAATGGATGCACAACTCTGAGAATATATGAAAGAAGCCATTGAACTGTATACTTTAAATGAGTGAATTGTATGATATGTGAATTATATCTCAATAAAACTGTTAATAAAAAGCAATACCATTGCTTAAAGATAAACTAACTAATTACTCCATTTCCTAGAAATTTTTATCTGCAGTTCTAATCTAGTTTTATCATTTAAAATATATTAAAAAGTAATATTTGGGCTTGATTTATTTTAGGGTCTAGTTAATCAGTTAAGTTCATTCTGACTTTCAGGGATTGGGCTCAAACTTCTGATGTGTATAAGTTTTTCTTAAATCTGTCTTTCTGTATATTTATATACAAACACATGCAAATGCATAACCTTAATTAACAAGGACAAACTGTCTTAGGTTTACAAAACCATCAAGTTTACATATTTCAATGGAATTTACATTAACTGAGTTTAGTAAGAATATTAAAAGTTTATTGCTTTGGGCCGACCTGGTGATATAGTGGTTAAGTTCACACGCTCCGCTTCGGTGTCCCGGGGTTCACAGGTTCAGATCCTGGGCATAGACCTACACACCACTCCTCAAGCCGTGCTGTGGCAGTGTCCCACATACCAAATAGAGGAAGATGGGCACAGATGTTAGCTTAGGGCCAATCTTCCTCAGCAAAAAAATAAGTAAATAAATAAAAATTCATATTGCCTTAAAACTTGTACTGTAATGTTCATTGCAAATCTTCATTCAGAAAAGATACCTTAAGAAAGACAAGTACTTTAAGAAAATTTGAAATAGTAAGGCAACTTTCTAATTTCAAAAAATAATTTAAGTTCAATAATAGAAGATATTTTTAGGAATGATTTCTAATAATATCTGAGAAAGATCTTAAATTTTGTTAACCTTATTTTCATTTGTGTATTTGTGTGTCTGCAATCTTATGAAGTATTTATAGAAATGAGTTCTTCCTGGTTATAAACACCAACTTTGACAACATAATTGCATCTAAATGGTCAACTACAGTTCTACTCTACTTCCCATCCTCTACTCACCAACTTTGCAGCTACCTTTTCCCTTCCTCTGCTCCCAGCTACCAAGTTTTTCTGAGTCCAGAAAAATCCTCTTTTCCTCATGCATTCAGGATAATTTTTCTATTGCAGTACAATTGGCTTTCTGTTTTATTTACGTGATAATATTACAATGGTATTGTTTTCTAATTTTTTTGTGTAAATGGATAGTTTTTCATCTACGTTATGAGCTAGATAGGTTTGGATGGGTTGATCTGATACCTAACTGTTGCGTATATTGGTGTTTCTGTATTTAAAAGACATTCTAATTTTGAAGCTACTGACTCCTTATTATCTTGGATATAATTTATTTGTAAGTTAAAAACATCTTTAATGTTCATCCTTAGCTTTTTCCGTTATAGAATTGAAATATCCAAATTCCTTTGACAGGGAATATTCACAGTATGCTGTGTTGTCAGTATATTTTCAATTTGAGAGTAGTAAAATGAAGTACAATATAAAGTAGTTTGAAAAGCCAGAAAAATGTCCTGTGGTTTCATTTCTCTACGTTTGGTTTTAGATTATCGTCTTCTCTTGGCAAAAGCTAACTTCCAAGGAAATAGTGAGTTTGAATTTATGGTAAGAAATGAAATTAAGTTCTTCCAGGGATACCAATAACTTCCTCCTCCCTGTTATCAGTGCACAAACACAAGAAAACAACATCCTCTACAATGGGTATAGAGTTTCAGTTCTGTAAGATGAAGAAGTTCTAGAGATCTATTGTACAATAAGGAGCATATAGTTACCACTCCTGTACTGTACACTTAAAAATTATGAAGATGATAAGTTTTATGTTATGTGTTTTTTGCCACAATAAAAAAATGCTTAGACATTAAGGAAAAAACAAAAACAACTCCCCCTATCCTTTCCTTGAGGCCCAAATTCTTCCCTGGGTAATGTCCTAGACTCTTAAATTGATATAAAATCTCTGGGAGTCACTTGACAGTGTATTTTGAAAGATCTTAACTATTATATAAATCTATCATACAGAAATAAGTGCAAAAGTAAGCAAAGAAGTAGTTACAAGATTGCTGATTTTTGCATTTTTCCTAATAGTAAAAAATTGGAATGACCATAAATGTCTAGCTGTATGGAATTGGTTACTTAAATAATGGTATATTTATGCAGTGAAGCAAATTCAATCATTGAACGATAAATATAGCTCTACATTTGCCTATTTGGAAAGATAGTTATCATTTATAGTTAAGTGAAACTAAGCAGAATATCTAGTAGAATTTATAATATGATCCTTAAATTAATCTTATTTTATTAATTTAAATTTAATTTAAATATTAAATTATTTTAACTATTTATATACACATAAGCATATATTGTGTATGAAAAGTTTGAAAGGTATATACCTTAGCATGTTGTAGTTATCTCCTAGTGTTAGCATTTTAGATATTCTTAATATTTTGCTCCTTTTTGCTTATTCGTATTTTCAATTTTTCTATAATCATATTTTAGTGTACTTAAAACATTTAAAAGTGATATTTAGGAGGTAAAATCTGGAAGACTTTATAACTAATTAGATAAGAGAAGGATAGTAGATGGTTTTGTCAGCTGGAAATATAGAAAAAACTATGTTTCCCTGGAGAAATAAAATGAATTGAGTTTGGGCATTTTGTATTTGAAGTACACCCCTGGTTGAAATGTCTCTTGAATAGGTAGTCTTATCCTCGGAGAGCATATACAATAAAAGCTATAACACCCTTTTCAGAAAAATACACACATATTCACAATGTTTTAGATATAGAATTAGGACCTTCACAGAATTCTATCTTGAAAATATTATCTGGACTCAATGATTCCAGCTTAAAAATTCTTGTCACATTTTATTTCTCGGATATTATACTTCTGGAAAATGAGGCCCTACAAAGATTAAATGATGTCGGTTTAGTTGATTCAGGCCCTGTATTAAAATCCATGTTCTCTGACTATCAGTCAAATAATATATTACCAAATAAGTATATTCTGACCTTGAGAGTATAGTTTTTTTTTTAATCTTAAAAAATACAACATAGCACTGGAAACATCATAAAACTTTTGGCATCCACTGAAAAGTAGCTTTTAAAGTTCCTATTTTAATTAGTATTACCAAACAAGAAACTTCTTAATCAGAACCAGAAGGAAAATGGTAATAATCAAATTTCTTGGCAGGTAGCATGTCTCCATTTTCTCAGAAGTATTTTTGTTGTTGTTGTTATTGTTGTTTTCAGTTCTGTGAATTAATTTGGATTCATAGCCTTGCGTTGGTAACCCTTGAGGTTTCAGCTCCCAATCTGTAAAGCTCATATAGCATATGCTCCTACCTAGTACCATTCAGTGTTTGTTTCTGTTCTAATCCCAAGGGACCACTTTTAGCCAATTGAATCTATTTATCCATCTGACTGATCCTAAATCTTCTCAGATGAATTGGCTTTCAAGTTTTATCTGGTTGGAGAAAAAAAAAAGAAAGAAAGAACTTTCAAAGGCAGTATAAAAACTGAATAGCATGAAAGATCCTGCGTACTGTAGATTCAGGCTTCTATTTTTCTTAAGTAATCATGTATTGTAGTCTTTCACACAGACTAGCTAATGTAGAAAAACCAAGTCACGCTTTTGTGTCACATCCCTTTTTCGTGCAGAAAGGCGATGTTAAGTTTCTTTAACAACCACAAGTAGTAGTCGTTCATTTTCTTAATTCATTTAAATTGTTTGAATCTTTCATTCTAATTTCCCATTCATGCATATGGATTGTGTGCTGGCATTCAATGAAAAGACGCTGAGTGGGACTTTTCCTTTGCTTTCTGTGTACTGTCCCAGGAGCAGGCTTCCTGGGTGTGCCAGTGTGATGACAACATGGTTCAAAGACTAGAAACAGACTTCAAGATGACTCTTCAGCAGCAGAGCACCCTGGAGCAGTGGGCTGCGTGGCTTGACAACGTGATGATGCAAGCACTGAAACCCTATGAAGGGAGACCCAGTTTTCCCAAAGCTGCCAGGCAGTTTCTGCTAAAATGGTCTTTCTACAGGTATCGCCTCAATTTTCCCTAAGCTGTATTTTGCATCTTCTGCAAAGATGTGTGTATGTACATGTTTCTCAGACAAAAGAAAAACAAGGACTTTAGTTTGCAGAAGCTCTCTGTTGTGATTATCTGCAACCCAACTTAATGATTACAGCGTCATGGAATGGTACGAGGAGGTTTATGGAAAAAAAAACTTGCTGCTAAGAAAAGAAAGCCTCTTGCTCAAAGCCCTAGAATTCTCAGATGGGAACATCTGAGATTCCAGTCCAGATAACGTGTTCAGCTGCAGTCAGAAAAGGGCTCGAGCCCTCCCTCTTGCAGACTTACGTTATTTAGGCTTCTTTCTTGAGGCCTCAGCACCCCTCTTCTTTTTATTCTCTGGTTCAGTGATTCTCAAACTGTGGTCCCTAGACCAGTAGCATCACTGTCACTTGGAAACATGTTGCAAGTGCAAATTTTCAGGCCCCTTTATCAAATCTACCTGAATCAGAAACTGCGCAGGTGAGGCCCAGCAATCTATGCTTTTTAAAAAGTCATCCAGGTGATTCTGATGTGTGCTCAGAACCTTCTATTTAGTTTCTTAATTTGACCCATTACAACTGTTCTCAAACCTAGCAGCACATCAGAATTAATGTAAAAAAATAAATAAAAAATCCTAGGTACCTCCCAAAACCTACTGAATCAAAATCTTGATGGCTAGGGAGTAGTGATTGGGAATAGGGGTAATTAGAAATTTTTTTCTTCAAAAAGCTTACCCCTGGTGATTCTAATGCATAGCCAATTTAATATCCAGTAATCTAGTAAACAGTACAAAATGAATCACTTTTTGACTAAAATAATATAGATATAAATGTATGTTCTTGTAGACATAGAAGAACCCCAGAAGAGAAAGGTTTTCTGATCATTGGTATGTGATATCAAATGTTGGGATGAGCTGTTGACCGTAGGTCTGCCCTAGGGGTTAAAAGCAGAGCCTGTGTGAGTGGCATATATACCATATATATGTAGGATGGAATAGACAGATGGAGTTCCATTTCATAAGATAAGTTAGGTAAGTTATATTTTTGACCCTGGCATTTGTTCTTGTGGTGGGAGTTATGTTTTTGCTTATTTAGATAAAGGTGGCTCCCCTGGCTCAGGCCTAAAAGCCATATCTGCCTTGAGGCTTAGGCAGTCCCTTATTTAGAGCCTATGCAGCCATGCACGTATCAGAAAGCAGTAGCCACAGGACATACCACTGACTGTGGCTGTGGGCACACTGTGGTCATCATCTAGACATCAGTGATAAGTCCAGAGCTAGTTGTGAGGAGAGAAGGTATACAAGAAGTAACAGAGTTGAGGAACTAGGAGTGCTTGTGAACCCAGTAAGCCCAGACTATAGGATTTCCATCTGGTTTTGACCACCTTGAAGAGAACCAGAGATCTTTTAATTATGATAGTAATTGCTTGGTTTTAATTTTGACTTCTTTCATTCTCAACTGATTTGGTCTAAGTCTTATTTCTTTCTTCTCTCTCTTTTTTTGTTTTTTGTGAGGAAGATTAGCCCTGAGCTAACATCTGTTGCCAATCTTCCTCTTTTTGCTGAGGAAGATTGGCCCTGGGCTAACATCCGTGCCCATCTTCCTCTACTTTATAGGTGGGACGCCTGCCACAGCATAGCTTGATAAGCTATGCGTAGGTCCACACCCAGGATCCAAATCTGCAAACCCTGGGCCACCAGAGCAGAGCGCGACAACTTAACCACTACACCACCAAGCTTGCCCCAAGTCTTATTTCTTAAACTGAAGTAGAGCTGTAGATCCACCTTGTATGTCTAATTGAGAGTTAAATTATCCTTACATCCTGAAAATAGTTTTCTAGTGTCTAGCCCAGGGTCAAATGCAGTGAAAGAAAGCCTGCCAGTTTTGTGTTGTTGTTTTGTTTCTGGTTTTGGAATGGAATAATTCCCCAGTTCTGTCTCTCATATATTTAGTACCTTTAGCCCATGTGACTGGAGAAGCACCTTATTAAGGTGCTGTCTAACTCTGTGACCAACTGGTATGCTTCACTAAAGCCAATGCGAGGTTTAGATCTGGGCATTAATGAGAGATGTGTTGATGAGAAATGTAAGTTTTCCCTCGATACGTAAGGAGTATTTGGAAAACATTGTCACAGTATTCTAAAGTAGATGTAGCAACAGTAGTAGTAATAGTAGAATTCAAAAACTTAATTTAGAAATACTTCTTAAGAAGATTTCAGATATTTTTCCCATTTGCTTGCAAGTTGATTTTTTATTCATCCATTTTTTTCCACAGAAAGTCATATACATGGTATATGTGCTTTATGAATAATTGATGAATCAGAACTTATACTAGCTGGTTATTCCAAAACCTGTATGCCCAAAAGCAGAGTGCATCCTCTGTATCAGAAAAAGCAGGGTTTTGTTTTTTCTTCTTACTGCTTTTCATATGTTGTAATGTCAGACTTGCCCCTACTCCTTCCTGTGGGTTTTTATTTTTCTGTATTTAGTTGAAATACACCCTTGGAACCTTCATCTCCACAGAGATCTGTTGCAGGTATCTTGAAAGGAGAGAAAATTACTTACTTGTATTTCTCATTCTCTGCAGATATACAGACCCAGTAGATCGTCACTTGCCTGCCCTCTGTCCTCCCTGAGTTGGGGATAATTGGCTTGTTATTGTTAGACACTATTATGATTATTATTTTCATTTCAAAAGGACTTGAAGGCCTACAGTTCAGGGCCACAGAAGGAAAGGCACATTCAGACAGATACATACCTCCTGCTGGTAGGCAAAGTCAATAGCTTAGAAATTTAAGAGCCTTTAAAACCTAAACTGTTTTTTACTAAGGTATAAGAATATATTGAGTAATGAAAACTGCATTTACAAACTATCAGAGAAGCAGAATTACAGAGTATTTTTTTTAACGTTTTTGGCATTGTAATAAGAATTTGGCAGTCGCGTACGCAGACCCTTCACATTCTGAAGTTGGTTAATCTCATAATTTCTAAAATTCTGTGTATATATTTACATGCATAGGACTACAGAAATAGACTGGCTATAGAAGTCATGATAGCTGCAGTTGATATATTGTTGCATACACCATCTGCTTCAAATGGCCGTCTCTCCTTGCCTAACCTGGCTTTGAATGGCTACTGTTGGCTCCCTGAGAGGTGGAAAAAAATATGACTGCCATTCTTGGGCAGAAATGGAGAAGTTATGTCAGCCAGTTCTCAGCTTGTGTGTTTTGTGGATAACAGAACACAGCATTCCTCAGAGCCATCCTGAGGGTCAACCAAATATCCCATTTTTAAAGAACGTAATTTGTGTCTTTGATACAGTGACTTGAAAGGTGGCACAGGGAACCTAGTTTGTCTACAACTGGACAATATGTAAATCTTCCATAAAGTAATACTCTTTTGGAATCAACTGTAAGCAGTGTTTGAAAAGAGAGTTCACATGAGGGTCACAGGTGTGACCTTCTCACCTTTCTGCTTAGGAGGGGTGTGATGTGTCCCAAATACACGAAGAGAAGTGGATTGAGTATCATATGTTAGGGTATCTGTTTCAGTTTCCACACCATGACTTATAAAGATAAATACACAAAGGTATTTCTCATCTATTATAAAATAATTAACATTTATAACTCTAATTTTAAAAGGAGTTGAATGCATGGTAACTTAGCAACATGAAATTCAGTGGAGTCAATTTTGCACCATATCTTATAGAAGTATGAATCGGATAGTAGGTTTCCAATTAAACTGTTAATTGTGTCATTTAATTAATACTTGGCTTGTAGGGCAGCAACCCAACACAGAGAGAATAAAGTAGACATAGCATTAATAATATAATTCAACTGATTCTTTTCTAAACATATGACAATAATTTCATGGCATGCTTATCAGTATTTTTAAGAAATAACTAGGTGTTATAACTAAAGGCCAGCAGATTTTTTTCCAACAGAATTTGGTATTACACGTACATTTCATGCTTGAAATAAGGTGATTGCCTAATTGTCCAAAAGTTTCCAAAACACATAGAATAAAATTCGAAGACCTTATCATGGCCTGCAAGACCCTCCGTGGTCCAGCTACTAGTGACCTCCAGACCCTGTCGCGTATTCTTCTCTTTGCTCACTGAGCTTCAGCCACACTAGCCTGGCTATTCTTTGAACATGTCAAGCATAGTTCTGCCTCAGAGTCTTTGCATTTGCTTTCTTTCTGCCAAGAAAGCTCCCTTCTTCACATGGCTGACTCCCTCACTTCAATCCAGTTTCTGCCTCAGAAGGAATTTTCCTGACACCCTAACTGAAAATGCCTACCCCATCACTCTCCATCCTCTTGCCCTGGTTTATTTATTTATTTTTTAATTGAAGTATAATTGACATACAATATCTATTAGTTTCAGGTGTACATCATAGTGATTTGATATTTATATACATTATGAAATGATCACCATGATAAGTCTAGTTATATCTGTCACCATACAACATTATTACAGTATTGTTGACTATATTCCCTATGCTGTACATTACATCCCCGTAACTTGTTCCTTTTATAACTGGAAATTTGTACCTCTTAATCCCCTTCACCTATTACACCCAGTCCCCCAATCACTCCCCTCTCTGGTAGCCACCAGTTTGCTTCCTGTCTCTGAGTCTGTTTCTGTTTTGTTTTGTTTATTTGTCTGTTTTGTTTTTTAGATTCTACATATAAGTGAAATCATAACGGTATTTGTCTTTCTCTGTCTGACTTATTTCACTTAGCGTAATACCCTCTAGGTCCATCCATATTGTTGCAAATGGCAAGATTTCATTTTTTGTGGCTAATATTCTATTGTATATATATACCACATCTTTATTCATTCATCTATTGATGGACACTTAGGTTGCTTCCATATCTTGGCTCTTGGACCACTATCTTACACCATATATGTACAAAAATAAGTTCAAAATGGATTAAAGACTTGAATGTAAGACCTGAAACCATAAAACTTCTAGAGGAAACCATAGGCTCTTTGACATTGGTCTTAGCAATACTTTTTTGGACCAGTTTCCTCAGGCAAGGGCAACAAAAGCAAATAAACAAATGGGATTACATCAAACTAAAAAGCTGTTGCACAGCTAAGGAAACCATCAACAAAAAATAAAAGTAATCTACTGATTTATTTTTTTCATAGGATTTATCGCTACCTAACTTTATATTTTTGTATCTACTTGTGTATTGTTAGCCCTGAGCTAATATCTGTTGCCCGTCTTCCTCTTTTTGCTGAGGGAGATTAGCCCTGAGCTAACATCTGTGCCCATCTTCCTCTATTTTGCATATGGGACACTGCCACAGCGTGGCTTGGTGAGTGGTGCATAGGTCCGAGTCTGGGCTCTGAGCCCGCGAACCCTGGGCCGCTGAAGCGGAGCATGCGAGCTTAACCACTGTGCCACCGGGCTGACCCCAATCTACTTGTGTTTTTATCAACTGTTTCTCCTGGAATGTGAGCTCCATTGAAACCAAAATTTTGTCTGACTTTTTCTAGAACAAGATACTGGCACAGAGTAGGATCACAATAAACATCTATTGAATGAGTGAATGTGGATTCTCTTGGAAAAAATAGTTGACTTTGTGTTTCTAGAATAATATCAGAAAGCTACTCAATATGAATATTTTCCTTAGTCATTTATATGCTTTCAGGGTTATTATATTTTAAGGGAAATATAAAGGCCTAAAATTTGATGTAGAAGTATATATATAATTCATTCTGTGTCTGTGATATTTATTGTCTGCAAAGATTTGTTGACATTCACGTGACTCAGGATTGTTTTTCTATATTATAATAAATGTCATCTTTTAATAAACATTTTTTATTATGAAATTAACATGTGCTCACTTTAGAAAATCTGCGAAATACTAAACTATACAAAGAATAAACTTAAATCATCATCATTTTAATACCCAGAAGTAACCTCTGGTAAAATATTTTCTTTTAGTGTTACATAAAATTAGGATCCAATTGTTTACCATAGTTTATTATCTGTGTCTTTCCCTTACCAAATTTCCTTTGCCATTGTATCTTGAGCATTTCTTGTCGTTAAATATCTTCATAGACGTAATTTTTAATGTCCTCACAATATTCCATTGTGTGTATGTCTCATACATTTTTTAAATGTTCCCTTTTACCATTATTCTTGAGCATTTAAGTGGTTTTTGGTTTTGTAATGCAAGTGTAAGAAATACTGTAATGATTATCTTTGTATAAAATTACACATGTATGTTCAGATAAATTCTGGTAAAAGGGTTTGAACTTTTTAAGGTGACTTAGACTATTTTAATGAAGTGTGCTATTTCAACACTAATAAAGTATTAAATATTCCCATTTATTTAGGGGTAAGATTTTTTAAAGAACTGCATAGATAGTTTTTATGTTAAATGGGCTCATATTATACATTTTACTTCTGTAACTTGATATTATGTCATAGACATCTTTCCATGTTACTACCTTTATGTCTGATCTACCTCACTTCTTTAAACTATTGCATAAAATTCCACATATGAATGAACCATAATTTGTTTAATCCACATCCTACTAATGGATATTTAGTTTTTCCCCCTAGTTTCTCACTAGTATAAATATTGCTGCAATTAAAACTATCTCTGCTCAGTGGTGTAAATTTCTAGAATTAGAATTGCTAGGTCAAAGGATTTGTGCATTTTTAATTTTGACAAATATTGCCAAATATCTCTCCACAAAAGTTTTGTGCATTTATACTCACAGAAACAGTGGATGAGAGTTCTTTTTCTCATGCCCTCTGCAACACTGGATCTTTTAATCTCTTACAGTACTATAGATGATATATCTTACTTAAATTTGCATTTCTTTTAATTTTGAATAAGATTAGTCATATTTTTGTATATTTGTTAGCCATTTGTCTTCTCTGGGCTATATTTTAAATATTTGCTGTCTCTCTTCAGCAAGAGAGATGTGATTAGGATTGCTTAATTTTTCAAAATTATTTACTTCACAAGATCAAGTTTGGATTAGTATGGGTAAAAGTGTTATACAACATTTTATTGTTATTTTTGTGTTGTTTTTGCTTTTGCTTTTTAGGTAGAGGAATCTCTGCCTTTTAAATTTTTTCTATAGGAAAAGGAATGTTTAATTTCTAATAGCTATTATATTTATATTATTTTTATAAATGGTTGATGTGTCACTGAATTTTAGGAAAAGCATGCATAGAATTATAAACAGAATATTGTCATATCTTTGGCATGTAAATGAATGTATTAATCTATTTTTAGTGATTCACTTATAGAGTTCTAAACTCTAAAGAATCTTTCACTAGAACTACTGTTAATGACAATCAATATATTATTAACTCCAATACATGTAGTAGTGTGGAAATGAGTAGTTTTTTTAAGATCTCACGTCCATTATCTCATTTGACCCTCCGGCTAACCTTGAACCTTAGAAAGTTAAATGACATGCTCACAATCAAGATCACATAGTGGTCAGCGTGGGTCTGTCTAACTTCACACCCATGCTTTTTTTCTTTTTAGTAAATAGATCCATGGAAATAAGAGATCCTCTACCATCATTGTATGGTAGCCCCCTGTTCTTGCTACCGTAACCAAATGAGAGTGAGAAGCTCAGCTTCTCCTGTTTTGTATATTATCATCACAATCACTTATATTTACGTAGTGGTCTGTTCATTCATAAGTTTATTTCATATCGTTGGAATCACATGTAAGTTAGATAAGACCAAAAATATCGCTTTCATTTTCACCCAAGAGGAAAAACAGTCTCAGAGAAATGATTTGTTTGAGGTCAACACTGAATTAATGAAGAGCCAGAATCAGAATCCAGGGCTTCAGAGTTTCAAATGTACAGTGATAACCTGTCACTTGCCAAGATGAGTGTGTACAATTTGATATATTAGTAGCCTCTCTATAAATAAAGTTGACAGTGAAACAGGAAACAGATGTGCAGACTTCTGTACAGTCTTCTTTCATCTGCCTGACATTTTACAGTTCTTCATTGCAAAACAAGCTTTAGGAATATCAGCTTATACATTCTCCTATCTGAGAGTATAATGGCTGTCTTAGTTTTCCTAAGCCAAAAGTCTCTAGAAAAGGCCGTTAAATGAAAGTGATGAGAAACACACACATACACACCCAACTCCGTCTCTAAGTTAGAAAGATTAAAGAGGTTTGAAGTACGTGGACAAACTTAATGATTGGCATGTCTTCTGTGAGGCCAAAACTTTATTTTGGACTCATTTTCATTTTAAATATAATGGAGTTTATTGTTAGTAATTTATAATAATGTTTTTATATTTTGATATTTTATAAGTTAAATGTTCACGTTTTTCAAACATATGTATTTCTTCTTAATTTAGTTTAATTTCTTGCAGGGATCCCTGTACATAGTCACCTACATTCTATATTGCCACATCTGGGAACATTGCTTAGTACGTTATGTAACCCTTGTTGTCTGGCACAAATAAATATTTTTCCCAAAGTGTACCCCAAAGTCATCGTCACTGAGAGATGGTGACACAGTATTTACTCATCATCAATAAGATTTTCACTTTGAGTTGCTTTTTCTTATGGTGGTGATGAGTTGTCAACCTTTCAAAATCTTTTTTATTCAATTCTGACCCATTTGTGAGTTTAATAGAATCAACAGACTTGCCTGTGGTGGTAAAATGGTTTTTCCCAGTGAAGACCAGTCTAGCTCTAATAAGGATCTAATCAAGTTTCAGTGAGAATTACCTCTTTACCACTCTGTTTAAAAGAGTTGAGCTAACTACTTTCAATAATGAAATTATTCTGTGGCAGGTTGTATGCTATACTGACCTTTTATACCTCTAACTTAACTTCTTTTAAGAGGAAAAGTAGGTTGAACTCTAATCTGGTCACTAATATTGGCTGCATACATGTCTTTTCTCTTGGAACAGCTCAATGGTTATTCGGGACTTAACCTTACGCAGTGCTGCTAGCTTTGGCTCCTTCCACCTGATCCGTCTACTCTACGATGAGTACATGTTCTACCTAGTAGAACATCGTGTTGCTCAGGCAACAGGAGAGACACCCATAGCAGTCATGGGCGAGGTAAGAGAGGCTAAAAGAGCTGTGACCTAAGGGGCTTTTAAAAAAGAACTTGAATTTCATTTTAATCTAAATATATTAATTATTGATTAAAGCAATGGTTCCTAACTAATGAGTCTTAGACCCCAGAAGGGGCTGTGGAGTTATTGCAGGGGGTCCTTAAATCCCTCTGTTCATGTGTATTTTCTTAATCAAAAGATTCTAAAGTTCTAGATTATATCATGTGAAAGTTCATGGAATGTTTCAAGATGTTATAAAATGTCTATGTCTATGAGAATCACTAGACTAAAAAACCCTTATTGAATGGAAAATAAGAAAGATTGATGTTTCTGATAAGGCTAAGGGCTAGGAATACAGAGGAGAAAGTTAAATATGTATTTTATAGACTCTTTTTCCAAGTGCCCAAGAACAAAATGAATGATTCTATTTCAGAAGAATAACGATAGTGAAACATTTTGGAGACACTTACCGTGTGCCAAGCACAGTTCTCTACATGTAATAAAGCATTTGACACTTAAAACTCTTTGAGATCATTACTACTTTATCCTGTTTTACAGATGAGTATTGAGGTTCAAGTAGAAAGCTAAGAGCAGAGAGAATAAATGGTTACATAGCTAGCAAGTAGTGGAGAGCCGTTTTGAATATTCAGTCTGATTTTCAAGCCCATGCTTTTAATCACTAAAGATGTAAAAAAAAAATAATTCTGTTCTTCCGAATTTCTGTATAGTGTCAAAATGTCGTATTTTCAACAAGTGAAAAAAGCTAAAACTCTGAAGTTAATGTACACAAGGATTGGTTAATGTAATGAGGGATCGATGCAAATGCTCCAGTGATTCGGCACTGGCTCATTTTGTTGTATTATGTTGAGGGTACTTCAGAACTTGCTGGATTACACCATGTTAGGCAATACTACAAATTACCCAAAGCAGTACAGAAAACATGTTCATTTTTAAGCTATATGTATGAGCTTAGTTAAATTTTAAAAAGTGAAAATAAATATTAGATGCATTTCCTAGTTTAATAAATATGATAATAAAGATACAAATAAAAATATATTAAAATACCTGAAGGACCTCTATAAATATTCTAATATAAATAAAATGCATGTCAAACTTATTCGAATGTTGGTTAAAATATTCCTCTTTCCCGCTTCTTTAAACTCCCTTGCTGTGTGCTGATATTTATATGTGGTTGTATGATGTTCCTTAGTGATGATTTTGCTTAAGTGATGCCAATGTGTGAGATTAAGCAAGAATCACTGTAGCTTTTAAATTATAGGCAGGACCTCATGCGACCAAAACAATCTGGACTTTTCTTTGATTTGACTTCCCCTCAGTGCCTCTTTCTTTAGTTCTTTTATAGATGCCTGGTTGCAAAATGCCCAATTGGCATGTAGATTAAGTACTGCAAGATTTCTCAACTCAGGGCTCAAAACTTCTGAAATAGACATGCATGCCTTTTGGTGTATTTAACACATTTGCCAACCACCTCATATGCTCTGGAACTTCTTTAACAGGATGATCAGGATAATAATAACAGGGATTCTCATTAACACCCTGTGGCTAATCCTGATGCGTGGTAAAGACCACGCTTCCCTTGCATCTCTAGGGAATAAAGGCAGTGGTCATGAGCTGGTCACACAGTGTGAAGGCTTAGCAACCTGCTCATATGCTTTACAAGCAGCACTGGCTCGCCAGAATTAAAGAGGCCTACATAGTCAATACTGCCAACTAATCATCCTAATAGAAATTCTTTTTTTTTTTTTTTTTTTACTATATGTAAACAATGTAAATAACTATGACAGATTGCCACATTAGGCAAAGATATGATATGAATAAAATATAGATCAGAAAATAAGATATAAAATATATTCTGTAAGATCAAAGATCTAAGCACACCTCTTGATTTCTTTGCTTTCTATCTCCTTACTAAATTTATGGGAAAATCCTTTGAGCTGTCTATGCTCGTCCATTATTCAGCCAAGGGTAGCTTTATAGGATCTCCCCGTACAACATTGATGCCTCATACACCTGTTGGGCATTATAGACCTGTTGGCCATGGTCATATTATCATATCTAAAATTTCTTGATTCTTAGGAAAAGGAGAAGGAAATTCAAGAAAAAGGAAGACTGTTCTCTCATATGTCTCTCACATGTTATCCTAAGTCTGCCTTAAAAATCAGATTGGAGGTAAAAAAGGGCTTTTGTATGGTGAGGTTCTGTTGATTCTCAGAAACCCCTTAGCTGACTTCCCTTTCCAAACACCGAGTCTAGAAGTGCCTGTGAACACAGTGGGAGCAACACATCAGGCCAAAATCCCCTGAAGTACATGAAAATCACCATTACTCTCAACTGCAGCAAGTAGTTTTCAATCACCAGTAACAACAGCAACCAAGAAAACAATAATTGTCATTGTTTATTGAGAGCTTATTATACACTTAATGAATTAAGTTCTTGATCTAGCTACTAATGGCTCTTTCTCAGTAAATGGTACCACAACCCTCCCTGTTGATCATGCTGGACACCTGAGCATCATCTTTTACATGTCTTTCTATCTTGACCTCCATGTCCAACCAATTACTAAGTTTGCTCTTTCCCAAACCCCTCATAGTGCAGTCAGTGTCACCTTATGAAATGCAGAGTTGACTGGGTTATCCCCTATAACCCTTCAGTGGCTTTCTCTTCTGTTAGTTAAGGAACAAAATTCTTTTCTTGGTACATGAGGTCTTACATGATCTGATCCTGCCTCTCTGATCAACCTCAGCCTCCCTCTTCCAACTCCTTCTGTTGCAATCCCAGTGGTCTTTTCTCTGTTCTTATTTAACAGGCTTTTCTCATCATTGCACCATTGTCTAAATGGTTCTTTCTTCCTGGGACCCTCTGCCCATCTCCCCTAGCCCATTGTAATTAGTAATTCATGTCTTAAATATCAATTCCCCAATTCCCCCAGCCTACCTTAAATACTCCTGTTCTCTCTGATTTGTACTTTTCCTTTTCATTCTAGAACCTACACAATTCTAATTGCAAGGTTCTTTGCGTGATTTGTGTAATTGAAGATTTAATGCCTGGAAATAATAGAGGATTTGGAGTCAGGAGAACTGAAATCTACTTATAGTTCTGTCATTTATAGTGGTATAGTCTTGGGCAAATCATGTTCACTTATGTGGAACCTCAAACTTACCTCTGTAATTAATTTATTCATTTATTTAACAAATATTTCTTACAAACCTACTCTAGGCCAAACACTGTAATGATAACAGTATAATGATGAGCAAAATGGATTTTGACCCTGCATTCAAGGAGCTTACATTTTATTAGGGGATACATATTTACTAAATATAACTACATAGCTACAAATTCTGATAAGTGCTATAAAGGAAAATTAGAGGGATATAGGAATACATAAAGCATGGGGCTCTTAATCTAGCCTGGGAGGGACAGGGAAGACTTCCCCCAAAAAATGATGTTTAAACTGGGATTTAAATAAGGACAAAAGGAGTTAACAATGTGAAGTTAGTGAGAATGTGGAGGTGAGGGTTAGAGACCACTGCAGGCACAGGGAAGCATGTACACAGGTCCTGCTGAAATGGAAGGGAGCACGGCCAAGGGGAGGTTTTCATGGAAAATCTGAGGTTGAAGCACCAGAGAGACCAAATATACACCATCAATTCAGCAGACAAGAGGCAGAATTGGATTAGGATCGAAAGCCAGAATTTCAAGTGAAGCTTACACCCACGTAGCACTTATGTGTCAGGCACTATTCTAAGTGCTTTATATATATTCACTTAATAACCCACAACAACCTTGTGAGTGAATATTATTATAGCTATTTTACAGATGATGAAATGAGACACAAAGCCATCAAGTAACTTACCCAGGGTCACACAGCTACTAAGTTATGAAATCAGGTTCTGAAACCAGGCAGTCTGGCATCAAAGTCCTTGCTTTTAATCTACCGTTCTTATTGCCTGTTACAGGATGGGGTGATATTGGAGCAAGAAAAGTTCAGAAATCAGTAAGGGGAAACCTGGAAAATAGTCACAAACTTTGCTGGACATTTGTTCTGCCTTTATGGGTGGGTACTTTATTTGGGAGAGGTTGTTGTGAGTGCCAACGAGTTGATTCTGACTCCTGGTGACCCTGTGTACAGCAGAACAGAACTCTGCCCGGTCTTTTTGCCCCATCCTCTCATCTTTCAGTGCTGTATCAGACAATGCTCCATTGCTATTCGTAGGGTTTTCATGGCCAGTTTTTTTGGAAGTGGGTGGCCAGGTCCTTCTTCCTAGTCTGTCTTATTCTGGAAGAATTCATTAATATGAATTCAATAAATGAGTTTTTAAGATTAACATTATTTGAGCAGGCAGGAGAGACCAGTAAATTTACTTATAGATACAGTATACAAACGTAGAAAATATGATTTTTGCGTTCACTGTAACAGTATCATTTCCATTGTTGAAATGAAGACTACCCTATAGTGGAGCCCCCAAATCAAACAGCATCACAGCCCCAATGTTTTCTTCTAAATGTCAGTCTGCTACGACAGTAATACTGATTGGTAAGTTACTTAAAATCATTTGCAATTCCAGAGTTTTATTTTTATTATTATTGTTATTATCACCTAGATGATGAAAAGGAAACTATTTACTGCTAAAATTTATGTAATTTTTTGAATTTTTATTTAAATATTGTAATAATATAGACTTTCTAGCAGTAGTGAAATTTTAAGATTAGGAATAAAATAAAATAAAAAAGTTGCATCTGTTTGCACACCTGTTAAATTAAAAAATAATCATAAGGCTTTCTGTGCAGCTCTGACAAGAAAAATTGAGCAGAAAAATATCCTTTTATTTGACCTTTATGGCTATTTGGAATCTATTTGGAAGTTTATGGTATATGATATGCTTTATTTCTTCAAAATATACATAGTCCATTAATATATTAACTGAATCTATAAATTTTGATTGCTTCACAAAATGGTTTTCTGTGATAAACATTTTTATATTT